TAAAGTATATTAAAATTTTTAACATTTTTGAAAAATTTTATATAGGCGATTAATGATCTCCTATTTAATAGTGACCGGTACATTATTGAAGCTATATTGGACGCGCATGCGTCTGAAATCCGGCCCGTCTAAAACCTTGTGTGTCCACGATGCTAGAAATCGGTCCGAGACCACGGATAAAAAAAGAATTAATCAATCGCAATGGTCATGTGATCAAATTATTCAAATGTGATTTGTTTTTTTCTCTGTCCGAAATCTCGGACAAATTTTTAATTATGGACATCGGGCTAACAACACCGAGTGTAAGGCCGGATTCATGCCGATGAAAAAACGAAAAACGGAAAAGCGGAATCTAATCAGGGTTATTATTTACCGAATGTTAAACAAGGATAAATGCATGCGTATCATGCGTGAAACGGAATGCAGCCCAGGGTCAATCATGTAACTTTCCCAACTGTGAAAATGTGAAATTATTCACATGAACTTTTTAGCCAAGGACCATGATGGCGGAAGGCGGAAATCTAGGGAATGAAATCTAGGAATTGATAAATATATTTCGGAACTAATATGTCTTATCCTCCGACAATTTATCTCAAGGCAGATTAATAATTGAAGAAGTAATATCGCATTGACGGAAGAGAGGTTATATATAAATATGTAACTATTATAATAATATATTACAAAAACTATTATTACGTGTATATATATATATATATATATACATATATACACACATCATACATACATACATACAATTAATGATTTTAAAATGACTAAAAATGTTAAATGTTTTGTCAAATAATTATTTATTTCTAGCAATTATTATAATACATTATATAATAAAATACTTTAAATTTAGCAATTTTAATCAACTCTCGTTTTTTCTATCTATTTTAGTCCTAATTCGGGATTGGGTTTTAAATAATTTAATAACATTTCTTTTTCACAGTCACGTTCATTATTTTTCTTTCTGTTGTTATAAATTATATGGATTGCTCAATCATCCATACAATATTGCATATGTAATCGCTATACATGAAAAAGTTTCACGTGAAATCTCGATGAGCGAAAAATGAAAAGTGAAAAATGAAATGTGGAAAGTTTCACAATGTGAAAATACATACCTGACTCCCTGAACTCGCGGAAAAACAGAAGCAGACAAGTGAAATTTACTACTACTGCGAGTTCCGATTGGCTTCCGCTTTTCCGTTAAAGTGTGAATTCGGTCTAATTGCACACTGAATGTGATGAGTGATATCCAATGAAAGCTCTGCTTTTTCTCACGTAATGATGCAAAGGAGAGTTCTTATTGAATATCGCTAATAGGCATTGGATGCATTCAGAAGTGACGACCGCTCATTGAGCAAAAAAGGAATTAATCTATAATATTATTAATACGTTTATTTATTATAATTCGTAACGTAAAATAATTTTATCTACAGATAATCTTTAATATCATTTTTCTTACTTATTTATTACTGTTTATTATTTGTCTAATGCCGTGTTTAGATCATAAGGTTATGTAGTGCTCAGCGAGCGATGGAGCGACTTAAAATTACTCCATCACTCACTGAGCGCTACATAATTTTAAGATAAGAACTCATGGACGCGTCATTTGACGCGCGCGTCACGCGTCATTGAGGAAATAATTAGATTATAGTAACTTGTAGCACTGTTGCGTCTGACGCGTTTACAGTTGAATTCCAACTTCAAATGCGTCATCGCGTTTGATAACGTTTTGACAACTTTTGACAACGTTTTCTAGTAGCTTCTAGCATTATTATAACTATTTTGACTGTTTGCTTAGAGATACCGCGATTATCGCGCATTGATGCGTTGCATTAAAAGTAAAGTAATGTTAATAAATAAAGTATCATCTAGTCATCATTGATGGTTTCAATCGCCAAATATCAAAAATATCTAGTAGAATGTGCAAGTATTATAAATGTTCAATATGCATACTATGACGTAATATCCGACGCATATCCGACGTAAGCAAATGCTTGCAGTATTAGCCATTCTTTTAATGAAAATAAGGCAAAAAAAAAGGAAAAGTCAAAAGAAACGTGTTGTGGATTAATTCTCTAATCCAAAAACGAAATGAATATGGTTTTTATCATGCGTTATTCCCAATTTCAAAACTATTTTCGCATGTCAGCTATGCCACTTGAGGCTTTATAGAAATTGTAGGGCCGCATTTGCAGAGACTGTATATTGTACGCTATAAGTCAAGCTGAACGACTAACTTTAACTTTGAGGTAATATGTTTATAAATCTTGTACATGTAATTATGAAAAATATATAATTAGTTAACGTTTCAAAAATAATGTGAAATAATTTTGTGTTTATATTTTGGATAGATATCTTGCATCAGGAAATTCAATGACCTATGAGTTTTCAATATTTAATAGATTTAAATACTGTAAGTGAAATCATCAGTACAATGTGTAGAGTTATTTGAGATTAACTGATACTCGCTAATTCTTCCGCCTATTATTGATGAACAGGAATGAAAACGCATCGCTCAGCATTTTTAATGATTTGTGGGATTTTCCACACTGTATTGGGACAATTGATGGGAAACACGTTACAATTCAGGTACACTATATATTTATCTTTAATGCACTGCTGTAATCTATTCGAGTATGGCCTTATTTTAATTAAACACAATTATATCTTTCATTTCCAAACAATGCAGGATTAAATTTTTATAAAAACAGCCACACTATTGTTTTATTTGCGATGCGCATTACAATTTTCTCTTCGTGAATATTGGTGTGTGGATATGATCGGCGCAGCGATGGAGGCGTATTTAAAGAGAGCGTCTTTGGAAAAATATGAAGCAAGCACAATGAAAGTTCCCAAAGAATGTATTTCTGCTGGAGAACCATTGCTGCTATATTATCTTGTTGGAAATGATTAAACGTTTCCGTTTAAGCCATACTTGCTCCGGCCAAACCCACGATGGGGCAAAAAGACATTGAATGCAGATCAACATGTTTATAATTATCGATTAAGTGCCAGAAGGATCATCGAAAACGTCTTCGGAATTCTAGCAAGTCAATGAAGGATCTACAAAAAGTCAATTATTGACCAATTTGCCAGCGTAGACACAGCCATGATTAAAAGTACAATTTGCTTGCATAACTGGCTTCGTAAAGACTCCAAAAATGACTTTTATGTAACATCAAACCTATTGAATAAAGAAACAGCAGATAGTGTGCACCAGGTTCATGGAGAACAATAATATAGAAAATAGATGTGCTTTTACAGATGTGTCCAATTGTGGCACACATAATAGTACTCGAGAAGCTATCAGAATTAAAGAATTTTTCTGCCAATATTTCAACAATGCTGTACCATGACAGTGAGACCAATAATTAAGTTATAAGTTATTATTAAATAATATAAAATATTAATCTTTATACATTATTGCTGATAACTTCATATTAATATTACTAATAACTTCGTATTAATTATTACTAATAACTTTTTGTTTAAAAACGATCATTTTATGTGTTAAAAAAACATTCCCCCAAATAAAACATTTGTAAAATTTCTAAAAGTTTTTTATTTCTTCATATTATAAAATATTTTATTATAAAATACATAAAAAAAATAACAATAATATATTTTCTTTATATTCTTATTACTCAGCCTTATTTAATTCTTTATATAATATTTTATGTATTTTCAACATTAATTGTCTCCTGCGAAATCTTGGAAATTGACGAAGTTGAAGGAAATCATCATTCCGAAATGCTCTTCTTCATTCGTTACCGATTATTGATAGCAAAGAAATTGTCGGCGGCGGCTCGTGTAATGCCTTATTTGTAGGATAATACTATCTTGGTTTGAGTTTCTGTTTATCCTTTGCTTTTTGCTATTTCTGAAAATAATATACATATTGATATATGTATATACAAATTAAAATGATGGACATAAAATACAACATACTAGGGATATCATCTTCACATCTTGTACAGATTCTTCCTCTTTTTCTTCTTCGTCTTTGATATTTACGTTGTTATTACAGACTGGCGATACAGTTCTGAAATAACAGTAATAATTATTAATATGTTACTTTATAATTAATAGTAGTTCAAATACTTTCGCAATACTTTTAACATATTTTCTGAAAATTAAAAAAATTTTTTTCTTGTATTCACTCTCTTCTTAATAATGTGTCATGCAAAAAATTTAATGACTCATAGAAATGCCATTTATTTTTCTTCGACTGATTTGCTGCCCCCATTTCACAGCTTCTCCGCTGAAATAATCCGCATAAAAAAATGATCATGGAGATTTTTCCATTTTCTTTTGCATTCTTCACTAGAGTATACTTCTAAAATAAAATCATGTTTTTTTTTAATTTTTATAATTCTAATAATTATACATGCTGTATATATTTTCAATAATCTTGTATACTCGAGCTACGTCTGTGTACTACATGAGAAAATTGAGAGCTTTAATTATACATTGATTACGTTTACACCGCGCTTAGTCTGTGACCTATACGATAGGTATCTTTGTTTAACTTACAGACCATCTATTGGACAAACAAGGACATCTATTGAATAGGCCGCTAAATGCATTGTATAAACATAGCCATAAATAGTATGAATGGTGGGAATTTGAAAGAAATGGCTTAGAAGAAGTAGCCTGCGATATTAAGAGAATTATATAAAAATTTTCTTGTTATCACATAAGTAATTTATTTAAGCAATTTCTTCCAAATTTTCACCACTATTCATGTAACTCATTTAAAAATTGAATATCTTGGTAGCGTATACCTTTTGTTGCTTTGCTTCTTGCTACAGCTTATCCATTGTTCTTCTATCTCGCGATCACAACATTCTGATTCCACAAAGATTCCCTTAAATATACCTCTGCAATCAGAATTTCATCTATTGCTTTCTGATGTCATCTTGTAGACTTTTCGACAGGAAACTGTGGGTTCTCAACGATATTAATATTTTCCCCATTTACTTTGCTTCGACATACAATGTCTCCACAATATGATATATATATTCTGTACAATATGATATATATATTTAATAATATACAATATGATATATATATTTAATAACATGTAATATTTATTCACAAAATAATTAAATTTACTTACTGCATTGAGCATAAAAATAGAGAAATTTTCGTTAAAAATTGCTTTTGCATATCCTATTACACAAGAATGGCTCTCTATTACTTCCAATCTGCTCACGATTTCTTCACATAAACCGCATATGAATATTCTCTACAAAAAATTTCAAGTGATAATAATAATATTTCTAAAGTATGAAGTGTGAAAATATTCAAGATCTTGAAAATACAAATAACCTCTATTTTAGTCAGCATACATATGCATATAATTCATTTCGCAATATGTATATCAATTTCTTTTTACTTTTATTTTACTTTATATTTTCTTTTTATTGATCTGAATCTCGTCTAAGCTGTCAATCTCCATTTCAGCACTATAATTGCACGAAACTGCATCAAACGCTCCCAGTTCCAAACGTCTATAACGCGTGACACACGCGTCAAGTGACACGCCCATGAATACTTACCGGGTCATACTGTAAGTGCGTCAAACGCGATAGTGTTATAAATTACTATAATCTAGTTATTTCTCTAATGACGCGTGACGCGCCTGTTAAATAACGCGCCCATAAGTTCTTATCTTTACGACCTAAATGCGGCATTAGAGAAATAATAAACAGTAATAAATAAGTAAGAAAAATGATATTAAAGATCTAGTAGACAAAGTTATTCTACGTTACGAATTATAATAAATAAACATATTAATAATAGATAAATCTCTTTTTTACTCAGTGAGCAAAAAAGAGATTTATCTATTATTAATATGTTTATTTATTATAATGAGCGGTCGTCGCTTCTGGATGCACCCATTTAGTTACAAAAGTGTACACTATAGAAAACAGATCTATATTTGCTGCTGCGATATCTTACTGTTCTTTTTATTTTTTATCAATAACAACAAATCGACAGAATCGAATTAATTCTACTGTACGCAAATTGTGACGACTCTGTAGTAGATTCTAGACAACTTTCGAGTTTATAGTCACAAATTTTTCACGAATACATGCACACACGCTTCTACTTTTTGTTACGAACGAGAATACTACATTTGCCATTTGATAGTGTGTTGTATATGCTGTGATTGCTAAACAAAATGGGATCGTTGACCAGTAGACAGAACGCTGGCGTCGAGGAGGTTGATATTACTTCGAACCACGCATATAAATATCCTCCAAGATCTGGTACTTGATTTACTTCAAATTGCAAAACCTTATACGTTACATTCATAAAATATGCATAATCTTCCTTCAGTCACTTCATTAATTACGCGAATTATTCTCGAATAGGATCCTACTTTGGCAGTCATTTTATAATGGGTGGCGAACGATTTGACACACCTCAGCCTGAAGCATATCTCTTCGGAGAGAATGCAGATTTAAATTTCTTAGGCAGCCGACCAACTCCTGTATGAACATGAGTAATATAAAGTTTTTTCTGTATATTAGCAAAATGTATACAAAGAATCTATTTAAATATAACTGTATATTGTATATCTTTGCAGATATATCTTTTATTTTCTGTTAATTATATTTCATCCTCAGTTTTCGTATCTCTTACAGTTTCCGTATCCTCCACCACAAGCCAATGATCCTACAAAGACTTTGAAGAGCTTAGTTAATATACGCAAGGAATCTCTGAGGTTGGTTCGTAATATGGATCAGACATCGACGTCTTCGCATTATCACAGTGTCAAACATTATGGAGATAGTGACATTGACAAGAAACCTAATCGTTTTAATATTGAATTTGTGTTCGACTGCGATGTAAGATGTGCAATAACAATTTATTACTTTTGTACAGAAGAAGTTTCAACAAAGGGAGTTGCGTATGTATATATATTATATGTTAAATTTATTCTACAATTAATACTAATAACAGTGAGTGCTCATTCAACTATTGAGTTCATTCAATGTGTCCATTGGCTATGTTCAATAGAGAAAACTGATCAGTGAATATTCAGTGATTCTTTACTATGATTGACCATTGAGTACAATTTGGTTTGTGTGAGCACTTAGAAAGTGGTCTGTAGTATTGAATGCATTCATTAAGCATTCACAAATCTGTTTTGTCTGTTAAATGTGCCTATTGCTGTACAGAAAAACAATGATTATTTTTATCAAATTCAGATATATACCACGAGATCCATCCATAAATTCTGAAACATATCATTATAAAAAAGGAGCAAACCAATTATTCTCACAAACATCACACATATTCGATCCAACGTTGTATACTGAAGAAGATCTGATGTACAATGCTGATAGAGAAGTATTTGAATCATATATATATATATAATACCTCTGCAAGAAAATTATACAAATCAAAAATATGAAATTGAGGGGACAGAAAAGAAAAAAAAATGGTGAAAAAAAAGTGATATATGTTTATCTGAAATCAAATTAAAAAAAAGTGAAAATAGGAAAAATGATAAATCAAAATAGAGATAATTTTTTAAGGGTCTAACATAATACCATAACAAAATTAATATTTATATTATTTTAGATTTAAAATTTGAAATAAATAATTTTGATTAGTTTTACTTATATTTAGTTAACTTATGTTTAATATTGCCATAAATAATTAAGTTTAAATGAATATTTTAAACTTTTAAAAATTTTGATTTGTATCATTTTTACTAATTGAAAAAACTGATGAGTTTAGAACATATTCTTCATATAATACGAAATTTGAAAAATTTTTCTTGTATCACTTTTTTTATGAGAATATATAGAGGAAAGCTCTATATGAGATAGGCGCTTAATATGAGATAGTGGCATTTTAATATGAGAGTGGCTGAAATTAATAAACGCTATTTATTGGTTCCACCATGAATTTATTGCTCTTGGATTGAAAACTATTTAATAGAAAATTTATTATTAAATTATGCCTGTAGTCATTGTAAAATAAGATTTTAGAATTTGAATGTCTTAAAGTTTCATTGAGATGAGTTTTTAAATCTTGTTTATTATTTAATAAAATAAATATTTGGCAATAAATTCTTCATGTAGATAGAGTAAGGTTGTATTAATAGAAAAATACAGTATATTGAATTGTTTAATTACAGAAGTTAGATTTGAATAATCGTAAAATTATAAGAAATATATGAAAATTGTAATATGAGATCCCAGAGTATTTCTAACATGAAACCCATGCTCCTATGTCATAGTAAAAATCGTTGCTGAAGTATAAATGTTATTGTACAATAATAAAAAAGAATCGGAATAAATGTCGAGTGTCTATTTCTGCGATGCTTGATTTCAATTATTTGATTTCTGGTAATCTTCTATAATCTAGCGCATGTTTATTTTTCGCGCACGCTAGCTGTATTTGTTTGTATTTTAGAAACATTTATTATAAAAAATTTTATTATAGAAGGTTTATAGAAAGGCTTATAGAAAGTTTTTATTATAGAAAGTTTTTTAATTGTAACACTGATATACTGATATATTTTTACTATTGATTTCTCGGGGCATTTCATATTAGGAGCATAATTTTTTGATTTTTTCCGATTTGCTCACTTTTTATATTTCTTTAATTTAAAAAAAAAATAGAATTTGAATTAAATTTTATATAACGTTATCTTAAAGCTTATTAAATTCCCTTTAAACCTATCATTTTTTAAAATTCTACCTATAGATTCTAGCATTCTAGCATTTATCCAAAATGAACTCGATATCTCGTAATAGGGGGTTCCTCTACATGTAAAATGATATTATTTTTAAGGTTGATATTTTTAAGATCTTTTTTTATAGATTATCCCGATAGCTATACATTGTGTAGCAGAAGAAGGATCGGACGATCTGAAACAATCTCATACAACCATAGCCGTGGTTGAAAAACATTCTGATGGAACATATGTATTAAAAGCACTTAAACAAAAGCTTTATGTAGATGGTCTCTGCTATTTGGTACAGGAAATATATGGAATTGAAAATAAAAATACTGAAAACTCAAAAGTACGAAAATCTACGATAATATTTGAAGAAATAGATCATTTAAATAAGTATATACACGCGTTTTTTACTTCCAGATAAACTTATAAGTAGGGCTATTACTTTTGACTGATTTTGAAGATTCGAAGCTTTGAAATTTAAAGTTAACTTTAAGTTAAGTTTTGAAACTTTGAAAAATATATTCGTGCAAATGACGAATTTTTTCGAGGAAATGTTAAAAATATATAAATAAAGAATTAATTAACATATATATTGAAAAAAAATGTGAATTTTTCTTTTATTCTTAAAAAAATTTGAAAGTATTGTAACTTGAAATATAACATAATAATTAATCTCGATACACATATTTTAGATGTTCCTAAATGAATATTTAGTGTAAATTTAGACATGCTAATATTTAAAGAATATCATTTCTTATTTTCACATGCTTATGAAGTAAGAAAGAATAAATATTTTTTATATTATTTGTTTTTTCTTATCTCACATATAAAAATATTTTACGATTGAAATATTTATTCCAATATTTCAGTTTAATCTTGTTTGCAAACAAATTTAAAATACTTTGACTGTAAATTTCACATAAAGTCAAGAAAAAAATTCAGAAATTAATCGTTCTTTTTTTTATAGCAACAAGGCAGTGATGAGGACACCGAAGACAACGGTTCTGAATGCGTTATTTGCATGAGCGAGGTACGTGACACGTTAATTTTACCATGCAGACACTTGTGTCTGTGCAACTCTTGCGCTGATTCATTAAGATATCAAGCAAACAACTGTCCGATATGTCGCGCACCATTCAGGGCACTCTTACAAATTAAAGCTCTTCAAAAGGCGACCGGCACAATTATATCCAATCCATCATTACCGGAGGTAAGATAACTAGATAGCTTTTATATTTTATTATTTTTTATAAAGAGGGTGATTCAAATATGAATTTTTTGTGTGAAATCAAATGATAAACATATTTACTCTGATTGAAAGGTGGAGTTGTCTACTCACGGCCTACATAATTGTGGTTCCGTGATAATGGTCTTTGTAGTTGTTTTTACTATGTCCGAATAAACAGTATCAAATGTCATGGCGCAACATGTGAAATAAATTCATGCGTTAATCTAGTTTTTTGCGAATAAAAATGTTGAAGCCGTCGCTATTTACAAATTTTGTACAAATTGCGTACAGGAAAAGAGATACTATCAAAATATAAAATATATTGCGCTATACAGCGCAATGATACTCGGTACTATTTGTTCGAATATTATAACAACTGCGGAACAATTACGTGAGGCAACTATTTAGAGTGTAAATAGACACTTCTATTT